CCCCCGGGAACCCCCGGGAAGGGCCAGTCCCCGGGCACCAACGGCAGGCCCCCGGGCTGAAGCAGGCCGCGGTGCTCCCGTCGCCTCGGGGCTGCCCGCCGGAGGGGCTTGGCCGAGGAGGACGGGGAGAGCGGGAGTTTCCTCGACTAGGGCCATCCCCAGGCAGGGCTTGCGAGGCCACAGGGCGTCCCTTCCGCAGACGCCGCAGCGGGCCCCGTGGGCCCTGGAACTGACCGGGACGCGCTCAACCAGGCCCGGTTCCAGGCGGCCACGAGGGGAGGGGTTGGAGGAAGCCCGGGCGGGAAGACTGCGGGAGGTGGGCGAGACAGTGGAACTGGCCGCTTAGGGCCTGGGGTGCCGTCGAGTCCGGGCAGGGCCCTGGAGTCCCAAGCCCCCCTAGGTGCCCAGACGTCGTGTCGGGTACTAGCCGGTCAAAACCTGTCACAGGGGATCGCCACGACGCGGGTCAAATTTTTTTCCCTGTTGAACAGGCACCGGCCACGCCCACTCTCCTGGGCCCACCCCTCGCGCCAAGGCCCCGCCCCGCCCCGCCCCGGCGTGCCGTGCGCGGCGGCGCGGAGGCTGGCGTGGCTGGGCGGCCGTGGGCGGGGCTTCCGGCGCGTCGCGGCGCCTTCCGGCCGAGCGCGAGGGCTCTGCCGGCTTCTGACATGAAGGTGAGCCCCGCGGCCGCCGCGCCTGTTCCTCCTGGCACGGCCTCAGCCGCCCTGCCGCGAAGTGACTCCTCCCGTGCCAGACGGTTGTGGGGCGCGGGCGACGCGGGCGGGCGTACGGGAGCGCGAGCGCCGGGAGCAGGCGTGTGCGCCGGCGTGGCCGAGTCGGCGGAGCGGGCGTGGAAGGGGAGTGGGGGCGTGGGCGAGAGAGGACCGAGGCAGCGACAGCGGTGCCGATGGAGGCCTGTGAGCGAGCGTGCGACCAGGCGGTCTTGGGCGCGCGGCCGGGCCGGTGGCCCCGGGGCTGGGCGGGCGCGCCGGCTCTCCCCGGGCGCAGCCCCATGCCTGGAACATCGGGGCCGCAGATGTCCACACCCGAGGCGACGCGCCAGCCCTTGCTTTGCGGGTCCCTAGACTGCAGCCCTCGGAGGTGAAGGGCAGCAGGCTGGTGACAGAACCGGACCTTGAGCCACCTCAGTGTAGTGTTCCCATGGCTCTGGGCCCCAGCACTGGGCAGGGCTGTCCCCCTCGCCCCGGGGTCTCCTCCCGTGTGAACTGTGCTAGCAAGTGTGCCTGTGTGCTGAGCTGTGGCCTGGCACGCAGCACAAAGTCAATAAATGTCGCCGGGGTCGTTATCGGTCTGCCTCTTACACCACCTTCGTTTCCAAGCATAGCATACACTCCGTCCTCACCATAAGAACATGGTTGGCTCCACAATTTGTGCTCAAAAGTGAAAACATGGCGTGGCCCAGTGTTTTTGGCATTGGAGCTGCATTTCTATTGAGAGTCAACTTGCCCTGGCACCGTGATCCAGGCCTGTAATCCCAGAAACTCAGGAGGTTGAGGCTGGAGGATCGTGGCTAGCCTCTATTATTTTGTTTATTTTGATCCTATCTGAAAATGTAAAAAGGGGTGGGTGGGAGTAATGCTCAGTCATAGGGCTCCCCTGAGTTCAATCCCCAGTATCAAAAAGAAAAAAAAAAAAAAAAAAAAAAGCTGATTTTTACTCCTTAGGCTGATCTCATGCTGTAGTACCATACAATCTGAGGAACACTGATCAGCTTCTTTCACTCTGCACATGCACAACTGACATGCACACGTGAGATGCATGCACTAGTGCATTTCTTGCTGTGGGTTGGCATGAAAAGCATTTGAAAATCTCTGTACTTCCTTTCTATCAGCCCTCCTGTGACTGTCCTTCCAGTGTCCTGGGGCTCAGAGCCCCAAAACAGTCTATTAAAACAGCAGATTCTGAGACTTGGATTAGTCAGTGTCATAACACACCACACTATGGAGGCCCTTCTGCCCAAAGGAGGGTTTTTAGTGTTTGGGAAAGAATCATGGTTTGATGCAGGAGCACAGTGTGTGAGCAAGGTACAGTGGTACACACCTGTAATCCTAACAACTAGAGGTTGAGGCAGAAAGATGTAAGTTTGAGGCCAGCCTTGATAACTTAATGAGACCTTGTCTAAAGTATAGAAATAAAAAGGGCTGGGGATGTAGCTCAGTAGTAAAGCACCTCTAGATTCAATCCCCAGTACCAAACAAACAAGCCCTGTGTGGGAGAGCCCAGGAGTCACCAATGTGAAGAGCACAGTGGAGATTTAGCCCTCACAGGCATCCAAGCCGTGGACAGTGGGGAGCCATGGGAGGTGCAGCAGCCTGGATGTGCCCTCACATGTGCATCACTGCCCCACTGCTGCACTGTGGCAGGTTGCATCCCAGTGTTTCATCCCACAGCCAACTGACCAGCTACTGGCAGTCAGCGGTAGCACCAGCCCTGGCTTTGTGTTTGGTTTGGTTCTCCCAGTACCCTGGCTGGGTACAGAAGCTGATAGGTCCATCTTCCTCTTCCACAGGTGCATATGAGCTTCACCCGTTCTCTTCCTTCCTTCCTGAAGGTGTGAAATCAAATTGGGTTAAGGATGTGATAAAGGGACCTCTAAGTGGGTGGGCAGTGGCCCTGCTGCAGGTTTGCAGGGCTGCAAGAAGAGAAGAGACCCAAAGTTATGGTGGTTACCAGGGCACACCATGACAATCACTCGTAATCACTTCCCTGGAGGCCATCCTTTTGCATGGTTTCTCCTCAATTTCCTTCTTTCATCATGGAAGGGACTGGGGTAAAAAATGGGTGTTTGGTTACTTGGGAGGCTGAAGCAAGAGGATTGCAAGTTCAAGGCCCATCTGGGCAACTCTAATAAGACACTGGCTCAAAACAAAAAAGGGCTGGGGGGATGAGCTCAGAAAGGAAACTGATGGGTTTGATTCCTGTACTCTCCCCTGCAAAAAAGGATACCTGGGAGCTAAGAGAGCTGCAGTCTCAGCCTGGCCAGGCAAACTCTGGGTAATTATGGACTGTCTGCCCCAACCCGCTTCCATGGACAGAATTCCCCATGGACAGAATTGTGCAGCAGTGAGAGTGTTAGGGTGAGATAAGGCTGCAAGAGGCTGCTGCCCCTTGATTCTGATTTCTCTTGCTAAAATTAGGGGTTGGTCCGGTGGGGAGCCAGCGATGGAAGGTGTTCTGGGCCTGGATTTTCTTTTTTTTTAATTATTACTTTTTTATTTATATATGACAGAATACATTAAAATTCATATTACATACATAGAGCACAAATTTTTCATATCTCTGGTTGTATACAAAGTATATTCACACTAATTTGTGTCTTCATACATGTACTTTGGATAATGATGTCCATCACATTCCACCATCATTTCTAACCCCATGCCCCTTCAATTCCCCTCCCACTCCTCCACCCTATCTAGAGTGGGCCTGGATTTTTTTATCTCCTCAGAACTGTGATGGCTCTTATTTATTTGTTTGTTTAGGTACTGGGATAGAACTCAGGGGTACTTGACCACTGAGCCACATCCCCAGCCCTATTTTGTATTTAGAGATAGGGTCTCACTGAGTTGCTTACTGCCTCACTTTTGCTGAGTCTGGCTTTGAAGACATGATCCTCCTGCATCAGCTTCCCAAACTGCTGGGATTACAGGCATGTGCCACTGCACCAAGCATAGTTATTCTTTGTTTATTTTTGGCACTGGGGATTGAACCCAGGGGGCTTAACCATTGAGCCACATCCCCCACATTTTATTTTGAGACAGATCTGATTAAGTTGCTTAGGGCCTCACTGAGTTGCTGAGGCTGGCTTTGAACTTTCAGTCTTCCTGTCTCAGCTTCCAGAGCAGCTGGGATTATAGGCTTCACCACCATATGTACCTGGCTCTGTGATGACTTTTAGAGCAATTGTTGCCTTTCTCCAAGGCCACAAGCACTGCGTGCTGTTCTTTGTACCCTCAGCTTCCCTTCCTAGTTCCTCAGAGCCTGAAGGCCATGGGGTCTCCTTGCCTCCCAGTCTTACCCACATCCCAGGCAGGTGATGGAATTTGGGTTTCCCCTGCATATAGTGGGCTGGCTGCAGAATAAAAGCTAAGAGAGAAAACAGAAGAAACCACAGGACACCGGAAGTAATTTTAGAAAGTGGGGATGGGACGGGTTGGCTCTTGGCTCTTAGGGATCAAGTTTCCACACTGGAAAGAGAGCATGCAAGAGAGCCCGCGCTTGCTTTATTTATATGGAGGAAGCATCAAAGGTTTTCAATGGAATGTTCTTTGCCAAATAAGGTAGGAGGTGGGCTGTCCAGTTTCCAGTGAGTTATGCCCAATTCCAGAACTACGAGACAGGGGGCTGGGGATATAGCTCAGTTGGTAGAGTGCTTGTCTCGCATGCATGAGGCCTTGGGTTCAATCTCCAGTGTCACACACACACACACACACACACACACAAGTATGAGAGAGCCCAGTTCTCATGCATCACTCAATCCATTGAGTGGGAGGAGCCACAAAATAGTTTACAGTGCCAAACCTAAATTTCCCTGGCTCAAGGCTGAGTGAAGACTCGAAGTTCAAATAATTCACGGTGGCCCACATTTCAGGTAGGGAACTTCCCTTCTGTGCTGGGAACATGGTTGTTTTGAGTGACAAAGATGGAAGCTTGTTGCTGCAGTAGGTCTTACCCAGGAGATGTTCCTCTGCAAAGGGAAGTGAAAAGAGGTCCCTGGCAAAGAGTTCATAGGAACGAGAGGGTGGGCACTGTGGTGGGCCTGGTTCTGGCAGCTCCTGATGGACATTCCCTTTCTGGCCTGGTATTCCTGGAGCTTTCTCATCCTGGGCTTGGATGTTAGAGGTGCCTGTGGCCTCCAGGGAAGGTTGTGTTCCAACTTGCTGGGCAGTGGGCTAGCGCAGCCTCCAGCTTGCTCACCTCCCTTTGCCTGGGCTGTGCGAGCCTCTCAGCTCTTCTGGAGGGTGCGAGACTAGATGGATGAGCTTCTGCATATCCAATGTCCTGAAGCCTATGACAGCTGCCCAACCAGGCTCTACTTGTTGCTTAGTCGCCCTCAGAGTGAAGGCCAGAGGGTGGGGTTGCCTGGAACCTAAAAATGAACTGTACAACTAATAAGAGTTCATTGCAGGGCTGGGGTTGTGGATCAGTGGTAGAGCGCTTGCCTAGCATGTGCGAGGCACTGGGTTAGATTCTCAGCACCACATCGAAAAATAAATAAAATAAAGTCATTATGTCTGACTACAACTAAAAATATTTTTTAAAAGAGTTTATTGCAGAAAAAAGTCACAAAACACAGGTAAAGAAATAACAAAATGACCAGCAATTCCTAATTGCCAGCGTATTTGCTTTTCAGTGTATGTGCAGTACTGGGGTTTCCACCCAAGGCCTGTGTACAACAGGTAAGTGCTCTCTCTCTGAGCTATGTCCCCAGCCCTTTTTCTGATTTTTACTTTGAGACAGGGTCTCACTAAATTGCCCTGAGGCAACCCTCCTGCCTCAGGCTCCTGAGTTTCTGGGATTATAGGCATGTGCCTGTGCACCCAGCTTTTATTCTTGATTTACAAGATTTCTTTGCATATCGTGGATAGGTTATGGGCAAAAACCTTTTAAGCATATTATGAATATGTTTTTCTGGCTTATTTGACTCTAAAGTTGCTCTTTTGTTTCCTAAATAAAAGTTGCACCTTTTCTTATTTTTATTTTTTTAAATTTTTTAAAATATCTTTTTACTTGTAGGTGAACAAATACCTTTATTTTTATTTGTTCTTATTTTTATGTGGTGCTGGGGATCAAACCCAGTGCCTCATGCATGCTAGGCAAGCGCTCTACTACTGAGCCACAACCCCAGCCCCTCCTTTTATTTTTTGAGATGGGAATTTGTGTTGCCCAGGATGACCTTGAACTCCTGGGCTGAAGTGATCCTTTTGTCTCAGCCTTCCAACTAGCTGGGACCACAGATGCATGCCATCATTCCCAGTTTTTGCTTTTTTTTTTTTTGGTGGGGGGATACTGAGGATTGAACTCAGGGGCACTCAACCACTGAGCCACATCCCCAGCCCTATTTTCTATTTTATTTAGAGACAGGGTCTCACTGAGTTGCTTAATGCCTCACCTTGCTGAGGCTGGCTTTGAATTCGCAATCCTCCTGTCTCAGCCTCCAAAGCCACTGGGATTACAAGCTTGCATCACCGCACCTGGCCCATGCCCAGGTTTTAAAGATTTACATAATTTTTTTTTTTGTGTGTGTGTGTGTACACACCAGGGATTGAAGTCAGGGTCACTCGACCACTGAGCCACATCCCTAGTCCTATTGTATTTTATTTAGAGACAGGGTCTCACTGAGTTGCTTAGTGCCTCTATTGCTGAAGCTGGCTTTGAACTCCTGTCTCAGCCTCCTGAGCTGCTGGGATTATAGGTGTGCGCCACTGCACCTGGCTAAAGATTTACTTTTTTTTGAATATTTTTTTAGTTGTTGATAGACCTTTATTATTATTTTTTTTACTTATGTGGTGTTGAGAATCAAACCCAGTGCCTCACACATGCCGGGCAAGTGCGCTACTGCTCAGCCCTAGCCCCAGCCCCAATATTTAGATTTTTATGTGGTAGACTTTGTGGGTATTCGTATTTTCTCCCGTACCTTCTGTGGCTCCATTGTTTTATCCTTCATTCATATTGTGACTAGGATTTCTTTGGATCTGAGGGGGATGTGGGGACCAACATTCTATTAGGTGGCTGGTTGTGGCCAGGGCAGCCTTGGGCAATAGGGGGAGGGCTCCGTGGCCAGTGGTGATGGAGCTGTCTGGGTGTCTGTGAGGAACCTGTGGCCCAGTCAAGGGAGCCTGGAAGTGCTGGGGATCTGACTCAAGCTGCCAGGGCTGGCAGAGGCTGGGCTCCGTCCTGGCCCAGGCTGTACCAGGGATGCTCCCCTCAGCAGAGTGGCGCCTGGCCTGTGCTCTCCTGGCCATCGTCTCCATGTGTTCTCTCTCTGCAGCCCTCTGGACCCAGAGGTTAGACCCGTGTGACACTCACCATGCAGACGCTCCTTCACATCCTCTGGCTTATTCTGGCCTGTGGCTCTGTGCACACTACCCTGTCAAAGTCAGATGCCAAAAAAGCTGCTTCCAAGACGCTGTTGGAGAAGGTAGGAATGACCTGGGAACTTGAGGCGACCGTACTGGCCAATGCTGACCCTTCACACTCCTGTCTCTCCTGTTTGGCTGGGAATCAGGACTCTGTGAATCAGGACTCTGCAGGGGCATGGCTGCTCATGTGGCCATCTGACCAGCCAGCAGTAGACAGGTGGGTGGGATGCTAGGCAGGTGGCTTGTGTGTTTCTAGGACTTTACTGGCTAAGGCTCTGAGTTTGCCACCTCTGGAGCCAGGTTCTGAGGTGCCAGGCTTTGTCTTGTGTCTCACCCTGCCCATTCAGGGCCTGTCCCCTATGAGTTTCCATCTTTCTTCTGCACTCCTGTCTCACGGTGGTTATTCTTTCTCATATTGATGCCCTTAAGCTGCATTGTATTGGGGATGTTGTGCTGTTCTTCTGGGATGGTCCCAGGAATTATAAACTCAAGGATAGGTCCCCATCTAGCCTATCCCTCAGTCCCAGCAGCTCCTGCAGTCCCCATGCCTCTGGCCAGACTGCAGTTACAGGGTCATTCCTGTATGGAATGATGATGGGGGTGATGTTGTGAGCTGGGCCCTAGAGTATGGACTGAGCAGGCAAGTCGAGAACTTGTAAAAGAACTTTGACAGGGGCCTGGCGTTGTGGCTCAGTGACAAAGTGCTTGCCTTGCACATGTGGTGCCCTGGGTTCGATCCTGAGCACCACATAAAAATAAATGAAAACAAAATAAAGGGGCTGGGGTTGTGGCTCAGCGGTAGAGTGCTCACCTAGCACATGCGAAGCCCTGGGTTCGATCCTCAGCACCACATAAAAGTAAATAAATAAAGATATTGTGTCCAACCCAAAAATAAATATTAAAAAAATAAAATAAAGATATTGTGTTTATCTATAACTAAAAAAATTTTAAAAAAAGAAGAAGAACTTCTAGAAGCAGAGGAGGGGAAAGAGGTGTGGCCACAAGGTAGGAGAAGACCTGTGTTGGGAGCACAAAGTTGGTCAGTGAGGTGGCATGTGCCTGGCATGTCCTCAATATATATGGCCCTGCGCCCAGGTGAGTCTCAGGTCCCAAGTGGGTACTGACTATCCATCATCATGTGGATGGAGGCACCCTAGCTTCCTGTCTGCTCTTCAGTCCCCAGCAAGGGACAGCCCCTGACAGCCACCACATCTTCTCTAAAGGCCAGAGCCCTTCTGGCCTGAGTTGCCCACTGGCCTGTGCCCTCTACCTGCAGGGTCTCCAGGTCAACAAGTCACATTGGTCCAGAGACAGTCCATGGCTAAACAGGATGGGCTTGCTGTTGCTTGGGAGGCTACATTACACGCAGGACAGTGAGTGATGGCTTCCTCCCCTTCCTTTCCTTTTAGACTCAGTTTGCAGATAAGCCTGTCCAAGATCGGGGTCTGGTGGTGACAGACCTCAAAGCTGAGGTCGTAGTTCTTGAGCATCGCAGCTACTGCTCGGCGAGGGCCCGGGAGCGAAACTTTGCTGGAGACGTTCTAGGTTATGTCACTCCGGTAAGTTGGGTTCTCATGGTGCACAGGGAGGCCCTGAGGTGCAGATGGGCTGCCCCATCCTCCTTGGCAGGCAGACCTCCTGCTCTCTCCTCCCAGGTGACAGGGCTGTGAGGCAAAGTGGGAGAGATGCCAACCTGGAGATGGCAGAGTGAAGGGTGCCGGGAATTTCATGGGGGCTTGCACCTCCTGATTGCAAGTGACTCTGGTCAGTGCTCCCTGGCTGTCTGGCCCCAGCTGCCAGCCTGCAGAAGCGTGGGTGTATGGGGCTGGTAAGGAAGAGCAACAGTCACCCTGGTAAAGGAGCTGTTGCCAGGGTGCCAGGCTATGGGCATCAGTCCCAACAACTCCGCGGAGTGCTGGGCCCCACCATCACCACAGGCAGGGTTGATGTGGGCCTTAGGCATGACCTGAGCAGCCAGAAACAGAATCACACAAGGCAGGTGTGCACTCACCTGTCCTCTGCCTGCTGTCCCCTCTCTCTACCAGTGGAACAGCCATGGGTATGACATCGCCAAGGTCTTTGGGAGCAAGTTCACGCATATCTCACCAGTCTGGCTACAGCTGAAGAGACGTGGCCGTGAGATGTTTGAGGTTACAGGCCTCCACGACGTGGACCAAGGTTTTCACACTGCCTGCTTGCCTGTGCTTATCCCAGGGATGAGGAGAGTGAGAGTGTGTCTCTGTGTGATTGTGAGTGGGCACGCGTGACTCGTGAGAATGTGTGACTGGGTGTGTGTGCCATGAATGTTGAGACTGTCAGCATGAGTGTGCATATAAGTGTGTGGGAGTGAGTTTGCTGAGCCCAGAGTGCAGTCCTATGGTGTGGGCTGGTATGCAGAGTTGGGCAGAATGGGCCAGGAGGAGGTGGTCACCATTGTGTGACCCTCTGTATAACTGGTCAGTGCCTCAGAGCAGATCCAGCACTGCCTCAGTGTTCTGGGGATGGTGGGGCAGGACTTCCCTTGCACATCTGAGGCACGTGAGCATGTGCCAGGTGGGCTGCAGGACAGCTAAGGTAGCTGCTGGGATGTGGAGGGTGCAGGCCATTGGTTCCTTTGCTCTGTCTCTCCCTTGGTGGTTTCTAGCTGGTGTCCAGGGATTCCCATTGGGTTTTGGCTGCCTTTGGTTCACAGAAACAGCCCTAACGTTCCCAGGCCCTTGGAATGGCCTAAGATAGGGCCACCTGTTCCCTTGGCTCAAAGCCATCTCTGTTCAGGAAGAATAAGCTCAGGACTGCTCTGCAGGGGCAGGAGAGGCTGGGTTGGAAGCTGGGGCCATCAGGAGGAGGTGAGACTAGAGGAGGAGGGTGCTGCAGGGTGACCCCTGGACCTGGGAAGAGCTAGTTCAAGTGGACTGGATCTCCTGGCCCTGTGCTTACTGTCCCATCCGGTCCTACAGGATGGATGCGAGCTGTCAGGAAGCATGCCAAGGGCCTACACATAGGTGAGTCCAGCAGGCCTGGAGGTGAGTGTTCAGGAACCACATCCATTTCACATCATGGTGGAGGGGATTCTGTGGACCCAGTTCACTGCATTGTGTGAGTGTAGGTCGCTCCTCCTGCTCTGAGTCCAGCCACAGCCTGGCATTTATGGCCCATGATCCAGCCCAAGTCCTGGGCTCTCCTGCCCACTGGGCCATAGCCCACCAAGGCCAGTGCTTCCTTGGCAGTGGCTTTGTCCCTTCTCCCTCCCATTTCTTCCTTTCTTCTCCGTCCAGCATTGAGTCCCTGAGGGCAACATTGGCTCTGCTCCACCGGAGCTCCTGTAGCTCGCAGCTGGTGAGGGAGCACCACATGTTCCAGTGAGCAGCAGGTGCCCGGGGGTAGCCGAGTATGAGTGTGGGGCTTGGGCTGAGGAGAGACTCCACTGGAAGGCTCAGGAGCAGCAACAGGGCTGAGCTGAAGGAATGTGGGGGTCTTGGCTGGGACTGGGAGGTGGGCAGGACACAGGGGCCTGTGCAGGGCCAGGAGGGGACCTGTACTCAGGGCCAGTGGGAGCCATCAGGATAGATTGAAGTTGGAAACAGCTATGGACAGACCAGCCAGGAGCCAGAAAGCTGAAGTCTGTCCAGCCACCTTCCTGGAAAGCAGGCCCCTAGGGGAGCTGGTGAGGGAGGAGGACTGGCAGCATCACCTGCTCCTTCCCCGATGTGTCCCACCCTTGCCAGCCTGCATGGGTGTGGGATGTCCATGCTGGAGCTGTATCTGCCTTGGATGGCTTCCCCTCCCATCACTGAGTTTTGATTCTGCTCTGGGGCCCAAGAAGACGCCTTATTGGGGACAAAAAGCAGAGGAGTGTAATTCATTGTTTCCTGGTCACAACCTCTGTGTGTGTCTCCCATCAGCACCTCGGCTTCTGTTTGAGGGCTGGACTTACGATGACTTCCGCAACGTCCTAGACAATGAAGATGAAATAGAAGAGCTCAGCAAGACTGTGGTCCAGGTGGCAAAGGTGAGACCTGTATGCTGTCCTCACAGGCCACCAGGCCTCACCCCCAGAAGGCCCTGCCTCTCCCCGCCAGGCCTTGCCTCCTCAGATGGTCTCTTTCTCTCAGAGAAGGTTGTGCCTCCCAAACCCACCCCACCTCTCAGATCAGCTCCTGCCTCCCACACCAGCTGCTGTGTCTTCCTGGCCTTTCCTTCTGACTGGGACTCCCACAGGGCCTCCACTGGGCTCCTCTTGCTTGGATTTCTTCTTAAGCACCTTCTAGTGCAACCCAGGTCTTCCAGGCAGGACAATGTCAGCCCACTCCAGAACATCCCATGCTCCCTCTTGACCACAGGGATCCTCTGGGGGTCCCAGGGTGGGAGACTTGTCTTCAGGGCCAGGAAGCTTCCTTTGGTCAGAGCCTGAGTCCCTTGGAGGGAGCCCATCTCCACCGGCTGCTTGTATGCTCTGGTGCAGGGACAGAAGATCCTGGATAAACAGAATGCAGGGTGCCAAGTCCTGCTTCTGACTCCTGTGGGGGTCCCCCTCCTGCCCCCTTCAGAGGGATTTCTGGGTGTGCAGTTTAGCCTTGGACCTTGCCTCGTGGGTGACTAGGTTGTAACTTTGCCGTTGGATAAGGTGGGAGTTCTGTCTTTTCACCTGTCCCTCTTGGGTCTTTCTCCTCATTGATTCTGTTTCTTTCAGAACCAGCATTTTGATGGCTTTGTGGTGGAGGTGTGGAGCCAGCTGCTGAGCCAGAAGCATGTGTGAGTTTGGGGCAGCAGGTGGCTGCTTGGACCTCGAGTGTTTGCTGGAGCCAGAGGGAGGACCGAGGGAGAGGAGGAGCTTTTGGGAGGGCCTTCCTCCTGCGTTCCTATGTCTGAGGTGGAGAGGAGGCCCTGTGAGAGGTGGAGAAGCCAGAAATGGCCCCAGGACAGGAGACCTATCCTGACCACATTGCAGTGCCAGCCTGGAGGCCCCTCATGAGTGGTAAAGGGCACAGAGGACCTTCACTCACAGGGACTCTGTGAGTAGAGTGGCCAGGACAGTGTGACAGGTCTCACTAGACACAAGCAGAGGCTTCCTCAGTGAGCAGGAAGGAACTTCCTGGGATGTGAAAAGAGACTAGCCAAGCGCATGTGGGACTTTGAGGTGTGATGGCCCTGGTGTCCTCTGGGCTCTTCAAATTGCCACGGGGAGGGAGCCACATGGTACCCTCATAGATCTGTTGACGTTTGCCTTACTTTGTTTCTGTTTCAGTGCATTAAGTAGGTAGTAAGACGTGGCCTCATAGTGTTCCTGGGGCTCATTAATACTGGAGCAGGAGGGCTGTGGGGAGAATTGCAGAGCCCAGCCAAGTGAGAGACTGCAACAGGGGAGGCAGAGGTAGGAATAGCCTGCCCTTGTACCCAGGGAGTGGAGGGCAGCTGTCCTCAGGGGATGTCAGGGCCATGGTGTGGGCAGTGATCAGGCTCCTGAGCAGCAAAGACCAGTTGGTCCAACCATATTGGGCATTGAGCTGCCTCCAGGACAAACCTGACTGAGCTGAGACAGGAATATTTACATGGGTCTCCTTCCACCCCCCCCACCCCCACCCCCCCAGCATCTAGTCTGAATTCGATGTGTCAGGTTGGCTTGGCAAGACTGTGATTAACCTGGCAATACCATGGTTGGCAGACTTGGGCAGGCATGTGGCACTTGCTTTTGGCCCAGTATGCAGGCCCGTGGTATGGGCTGGTATGCTGGTGGGGTCTAGTGTCTGTAACACATGGGCTTGGGGAGCCAGCCTCTTGATAGCAGCTCTCCCAGGGGCCAGAAAGGTTATCTGGGAGCCATCTGAAACAGCTATGAGAACTCCTCTTCAGAGCACCATCTGGCTGGAGTGACTGTCCCTGGGCAGAGACTGCTAGGCATGGCAGGAAGAGCTGAGCGGGCAGCTCTACCAGGGTTCCCAGGCCTTTCTCCCCATGAAACCTGAAGCAGTTTGAACTACTGCAGCGTGTGACCTTAGTCTGCCCTGGCCAGAAGTCTCAACTTGGTTCATAGTATTGCGCTCCTGGTCACATCCCAGCAGACTCAATGGGCCTGTGGTAGTCCCTCCCCAAGGTCTGGAAGGCTTTGTGGCAAGTGTACACAAGTCACTGAGGGTGACAGGTGTTATGGTGAACTTTGGAGGTAGCAGATCTGGGGATGTCAGCCCTGAAGCTAATGCTACAGCCTGCCCCTGGGAGAGGCCAGTTCCTTGGTAAGGTGGAGATGAGACTGCCAGACAGGTACCTGTTTGCCCTGCTGGCCCCCACTTGGAGCTGTCTCCCACATGCCAGACCCGAGTCTGGGCTCAGTGGGTTCTCTTGTGTGCTGTTGCTAGCACAGGCTCAGAGGCCATCTAGCCTGCAGGGTCTGTTGGTAAAGCTCTCAGCAGGGAGTTGCTGCTGCCAGTCCCACCCAGGGTGGCTGCAGTGTGGGCCCCTGGGAGCCGCCGTTGCTGGCAGATAGGGATGAGCTTACACCTGTCCCACAAAGTCAGCTTCAGGCTACGCCCTTGTGGATGCATGTCCAGACTCCTTGGGCCCCTTACAGAGCGGCCTTGGCACCTTTTTGGCCCTCAAGTCTTGTATGTCATGGGGATCAGAACCCATAGCCTTTGGGGCTAGTAGGAGGCCCTCTCCAAGTCGGGTTGGTTTCCTGAAGTCCCGGGCCTCTGGTGTTTCAGGGGCCTGAGCAGTGTCCTCCTGGTCCATGACCTTTAAGTGATAAGTGGGTAATAGCCATTGGTGCACTAGACTAGTTCTGGATGCAAAAGTGGGAGGACAGGTTGTCCCAAGACTTTGTCCCTCCCTGGTGTGTACTTGGGTTGCCACCTGCAAAGCTAGCACTGGGCCAAGAGAGGAAGGCTGTCTGGCCTTAGCTTCCTTGTGACCACAGAGTTCTCACACTGGCATCACTGGCACTCAGTGTGAAAGGTGACAGCCTCGATGGGGCAACATCAGGGAGACTGAGAAGCCACCACCATCCCACAGCCAGTTGCTGAGAGGACCCGGCCTTCCACACTCTTCAGAGACAGACTTCCATTCCCATGGCCAGTGGGAGCCATGGCCTCATGCTTGGTGCCCATCAAGGTGGGACTTGCAGTCTACTGTCCATACAGGGCTGCTCCTGAAGGGCCTGGAGTAGAAGAGTGAGGGCCTTGTGTCCAGGGAGAGTGGGCCCAGAGTAGACACATCAATATTGGAACAGCAGCATTAGGCCAGCTCCTATGAGCGGAGACTCCACCCCAGCTAGTGTTAGGTGCCCTGTGGGCTGGCCACCCACTGCCCATGTGGGTCGAGAGTTACAGGGTAGGTCCTCTCAGCTTGTATGGGGAGAGAGGTCAATAGTTGTCCTGGGGCACACCACCCCACTTGCCCCTCTGGTCCCCTCATCTGGTGGCCCCAGCATGCCTGATGACCTGCCCCATTTTGAAGCCCCCATTTGTGTGGCCCTCAGACTGTCCTGTGGTGTTTCACAGCCTGAGGCTTATAGTGCCACTCAGTGTGTTGGTGCACTCGGGCTCTGGAGCATGATATAGACCTGTGAGCTCATCTGGGCCCCTCTCTTCTGAGCACCCATTGGGGTGCTCTTGAGACTCCAGCTGGAGGGGCCCCTGGGTATGAGGAAGGACAGGGGTCTTTTGGATAATGGATAAGGACAGGTTGGGGTGTGAGGCCCCTTCTTCCCTAGCCCTCTCCACAGATCCACATGTGCCATTTTCTGTATGTGCTGTACCCAGGGTGGGGTGAGAAGGCCCGATGGAGGGTCTCAGGCTGGGACCACTGGGAGCCTGCAGTGCTTGGAGCCAACTGCCTCTTGTTCTTGCAGGGGCCTCATCCACATGCTTACCCACCTGGCTGAGGCACTGCATCAGGCCCGGCTGCTGACCATCTTGGTCATTCCACCTGCCGTCACCCCTGGGTAAGTGCAGTTCTCCTGAGGGGTTGGGGGAGCAAACATGGGCATCAGTCAAGGGCCCAGGCCTCTGGTCAACAGGAGCTATGCCTGCCCCTTCGTGTGGGTCCTGGGCAGGGAGAGGAGAGGAGGACTCTTCTCAGCTTAGACAAGTGCTGTATCTCTGAGTATGCCCTTGGCCCTTTTGCGGGGTACTGGAGATGGAACCTAGGGGTGCTCTACCACTGAGACTGATCTGCATCTCCAGGTTTTGTTTGTTTGTTGTTATTCTTTTTTAGTTGTAGGTGGACACGATATCTTTTTTAAAATTTATTTTTATGTGGTGCCGAGGATTGAACCCATGCATGCTAGGCAAGCGCTATACCACTGAGCCACAATCCAAGCCCCCAAGCTTTGTTTTTCACTTTGAGACAGTCTCACCAAGTTGCTGAGGCTGACCTTAAACTTGTGATCCTCCTGCCCCAGCTTCCTGAGTCCCTGGTATTACAAGTGTGTACCACCATGCTCGGCTGAGAACTAATGTTTTTTAAACTTATTTTTCCTTCATTCTCAAAGAGGCCCTGAGGCCCAGGTGCTTGGTGCTTTAGGTGAATCTGTGTGAGCTGTGTTCCATGAGAAGTTAGGCCAAGTGGACAGGGCTGTGCAGTCGTATCTACACCAAGATGCCACTGTCTGGGGCTGGCCCTCTCCCAAGCCGTATGAGGCAGGGAGTAGTAAGGAGTGACCCAGACAGTACTACAAGAGCCAGGGAAGTTGGAATCTCATGTCCACTCTGCCAGAAGCATTTCACATAGGAATGTGGTGTTTAGCGTGGAAAGTGAGCTCATGGGACACAGAGAAGGCTGAATCACAATGGGAGAACAGAACTGGGGGCTGAGTAGGCAGCAAGAGTGGGGAGCGAAGGGTGCCTCAGAGCCATTGGGTGGGAGTCCTGGGGGTCTGCCCAGGGCCCTGGGGATTTTCCAGGGGGCAGCCTTGTGCACGTGGCCCTCAGACGAATGCTGGCTCGCAGCTGCTACTTTGGGAAGAAGCTGCCGCCATCTCACATCTCTGCAGCCTTCCACTCTCTAGGGTGGCAGCCTCTCTTCAGTGGGATGTGCTTGAACGCGCCTCGGGGGCCTGAGGTGATGCTGGCAGGCTGTAGAGTCACACAGAAGAGCTGACTTGGCTCTCACAGAGCCTTCAGTGTGCTCCACAGCCAGGACAGATGCCATCACCACTGCAAGTGCTGGGGGAGGCTTCCTGCCCAGCTGAGGGCCCTTTGCTTGGCCTGGGTGTCAGCCTCCTTCCTGACTTTTTTCCCCAAACTTTCTGGCCCTCAGTCTGAGTTGGGTGCAGCTTCAAGCTTTGTAGACTGGTCTCAGGCCTGTGTCCTAGAATCCTACTCAGGGCCCAGGAGGCCAGCTGCCCTAGGAGGGTAGTCGTGGGAAGTGGAGGGCCTGGGGTTGCCTGTGCCTCTGCCCGTGTTTGCAGGTGGTGCCTCCGTGCATCTGCACACATGGTGCAGTGGGGCTCTTGTGTTCTTTTGGTCTTGGCTTTTTACTCAGTGCGGATGCAGCTCCCGATGCTTGTTGCTCAATAGTGGAGGGTCCTGCCCCAGACTGAACCCTGAGCCCTTCCTATCCGGTGCCTATGGCACCCTGAGACCTCGACTCTGTCTTCCACCTCACTGTGCCCGTGGAGCTAATCCGTGAGACCATGGGCAGTAAGGTGACGGGCTTTGCCTCAACGGTTCCTAGGCTGGGCCTGTATTACAGCCCAGCGACGCCACCCATGCCAGTGAGGGGCCCATGTCTGGGGCTTGGGATCTTGCTCTTGTCTGCAGCTTGATCTGTGTCACTTCCTGTGCTAAGTCTATGTCTTTGAAGAGACGCACCTCGAATGTGTGACCCACGATTTCAGGGTTTCCCTAGGGGTGGCAAGGATGAGGCTGTGAGGACCCATCTTGCAGGCCTAGGGGTAGAAGAGGAGACCGGGGGCTGCAGACACTCCCAGGGGGTTGCTCAGAGTCCCCTGGTGATGGGTGACTGGGTGTGGCTGGGGTGCCACAGCCAGGTGGAGACCAGGTTGTCCTTGGTGGCTAGAGGGTCACCCATGAGAGGACATAAGAGCAACCTTTGGTGGGACACTGCCCTCTAAAGTCAGAGTGGAAATGGCTTCCCAGGGGCACCTTCTCTGCCCCAGCATCGTCACCCAAGTTCCCAGCCTTGGGCAGGGAGTGTAGAATGGGAGCTGAGGCCTGCTGTCCCTCACTCTCAATGACCAAGGCACACAGCTCCTTCCTGTGGCTGCATGGGGAGGGGACCTGTACCCAGAGGGAGAGAGAACCACGGGCAGTGGCTGTGGGTAGGTGGCTCAGGAAAAGCGGGACCCCAAGCCCAGCAGAGGCCTGGGAGCTGCTGGTATGGAACTTGCCCGGGTGCACGTGGGGCTATGAGGCTTTCCTTATAAAGCTGGCTGTCACAATCACTGGGGGAGTTTATTTATTGCCCCCGTTTGTCCTCCCCTCACCCTTGCTGAAGAGCTGTCACTGCAGTCAATGCTTTTGCCTTGCGTCTTTCTGCAGTTGGACATCAGCTCCTCAGGTCCTTCACAGGCTGTGCTGGGCGGGACACAGCTCTAGGAGGGAAGTCTGATGCAGCTGTGGGGAGAGGCGGCTCCCTTTCACCAAATACAGAGAAGGCAGGCTGGACTCAGAGCTGCTGGGGAGAGTCTGGGGCTACTGGGGCTGCCACAGCACTGCAGACCTCCAGGGTCTATTCCTGGACCTGGGCAGCTGCTGGCAAAGGTGCTGTGCTGACCTTGAGCCCTGCCACCAAGGCAATGTGGTTAGCCTCCACAGATGACCTGGTTTAACCATATCCCCCCATCTGCAGGGACAGGAGGATACCATCCCCCACAGGGTCTGAGTTAGTCTCCAGCTAGTTCTACATGTTTTAGGGTTTTGTTAGCTATTGTGACCCCTCAGCTCAGGGTGCTGGTCACAGACCAGAGGTTGGTTTCCTTCCCCACATTGTTGGTGTGCCCATTCAGGAAGGTGTGCTGTAGGCTATGACCCCCCTGAAGTGGAGGATGCTCCCGGCTGGATCCTGCATCCTGCCTTGTCTCCAACCCCGGACCAGGGTTCAGTGTTGGTCCAGTGGTGGAGGGAGGGTGATGGGTGGGTGAGGTCCTTCACCTGGGGATGCTGTTGCTGGACCCCTAAGCTGCCCTGTGCAGAAGCCCCTGGTTTCCTGCAGCCTAGGAGGCAGGGCAGGCAGTGGGTTTTGACATGTATTGAGGCCTCTGTGAGGGCTGGTGGGCACCAGATAGAGTCATGCCAGGAATTGGGCTGGCTAAGTGAGGACCCAAGCAAGAAAGCAGGACCTGCTGTGCCGGAGGGTAGAGAGCTGTGGCCAGCGTTGTCACCTCAGATTCCACAGGCAGCTGAAGCCTGTAACCCTTATCAGCAACAGAGTAACACCTGCATAAGAGGTGGTAACAGATGCTCCAACAGTGGTGAGACAGTAAGGAGGACCCACAGACTGCAGGCTCTGCACGGGCACATGCGGGGAGCCCATGGGCAGGTGGAGGTGCTTACTTTTCATGAAGCCCTGGGGAGACTACTGCTCACACCTAGCAAGGCACCATGTATCTGGGGCATGTGGCACGGGCCAGGCAGGCTCTAGGGTTCACAGCCCCAAGGTGGGGCCCAGCAGAGTCTGGCACACATGGAGGTGGTCCTCAGCCACTCGCTGTCTGGTGGCCCCACTGCAGCACCTGCACAGATGCACAGAGCCTTTGTGGCTGTGACACTCTTCTCAGAAAGGAGACCTGGCAAGTAGGGCTGTGGCAGGTTCCCAGGGACCTGTGCAGCCAAAGCCCTCTGACAGTCACCCGATATTGTCTCCACTTGGCTGCCACAGCAAAGCACCAGACAGGGGCCCATTCGACCAGACGTTCACTGTCTCAGTTCCGCAAGCTGGAAGTCAGATCAGGGTGCCAGCAGGGCTGTGCGCTGGGAGGGCCTCTCCCTGAGTGTGCATGGCACCTTCATAGTGCCGCCACCATTGCCACCCTGAGGCCCCATCTCCAAATGCTGTCCTGTTGAGGGTCAGGGTTTTACATGAGGATGTGGGGACACAAAAGCCTGGCCAGTGGCGATTCTGTCAGCTCACATTAAAGAAAGGCCTCCATGTGTGGAAGGGGAGTCCTTCTGGCCAGGAGGGATCTAGCAATGGCTGCCCCAGTCCTCTACAGGCCCTGCCCCACACAGCTCCAGGCCTACACCCACCACACCTGGCGGACAGAAGGTCTTCTTAGTCCCTGAGGCTAGTGCCCATGGCCTCATGTCCCTGAGGCCGGTTGGTAGTGGTAGCAGTGAGAAGTGGGCTCCAGAGCTGCTCTGCTTGTGCATCAGCCCCTAGAGGGAGGGTCCTGGCTTCTGCCAGCTGTATCCCTCCCCTACAGCCTTGGCTGTGAGCTGCTGCTTCTAGGAGCAGAGCTGGACTCAGCAGAAGGCGTAGCTACCTGAGGGTGGGGGCAACCTGCTGCCCAGAGGGCAGACCACAGTGGCCACCTTAGGCCACAAGACAGGGACAGCTTTTCCTACTTGAAGACCCTTCCATCTCTGGTCCTGGTTTGACATGTCTGAGGAAAGGCAGCTTCCACAGGGTCACACATACTCCCCGCATCCCGCCCGCTCCCAGCTGGACTTGCTTCCCCCTGGGGCAGGGCCTCTTGACTGGCTCTCCATTCTCAGGGCTTCAGGGCTCCTCACACTTTTGACCTTAGCTTCTAAGTCTCCCCACCCCAAGCCATGTTCTGGTGACCTAGTTGGGGGCAGCTGCTGTGGCAGCCTTGCCCTGGAAAGTGTAAGCTGGAAGTTCAGCTGGCAGTGGACACAAGATGCTGGAAACTAGAACCCCTGGGTGTCCTACCCAAGGCAGCCTCCCAGTGCCCAGCTTGGCAGGCAGCAGTCCTAGACCAAGGCAGGGAGGGCTCAGCAGATACACAGCCTCTCAGGTGTCACTCCTGCTACTTCACATCCCTCGCTGGTTGGTCCCTATGGGCAGCAGAGGCCTCTGTGAGGCTGGCCTGGCCCACCCATGCCCACCAGTGGAATTGTCCTGGCCCCAGGCAGGAGCAGATGCTCCAGACCTTTCAGGGCAAGCCTGGCCTGCTACTGCAGGTAGGTATGTGAGTGGGATCAGGGTGCAGGCCCCCAACCCAGAAAGCTTGCTTGATGCTTGGGCCCCACCAGGGTCTTCTGGAGGCCAGACAAGGGGCAGGGCCAGAGTTTGCCTAGAGGGCAGCAGTACCTGGCCTAGCTGCACTAGCCGTTCTCCTCTGCAGCCCTGTGGGCTTCTAGCCTAGGGGTGCAGGCTGCCTTCAGCCTGACCATACCAGGGCAGGGATTCATCTGGGACCCTCCAGGCAGAATTTGTGCCACATCCCTTGGTTAGGCATAAACATCACAGCAGCTTCATTCTCCCATCCGAAGGGGCCTGCTTGTCTCCATTGTGGACGCTCAGGGCATGGGTAACACTGCTGTACAGCTGCAGAGACCCCTGTGTTCTCTCCTAGCATTGCAGGGGCTGTTGCAGAACCCTGTGTGGGGTTTTGTAGGGTGTAGCTTCTCTGCCCAGAGCCTTGCAGTGCCTGGTAGCTCCTGCCTGCCCACATGGCTCTCACTGCACCTCACTTAGCCTCTAGCTGCCTGCAGTCTCGTGGATAGCTCCACCCCTGATGCCCCAAGGGCTTGGGCAGGATTCAGGGACTAGGCTCCAAGCAACCAGCCAGGCCACAGGTGTGTTGGCCGTGGGCACTCACTGAGGGCCTGCAGGCTCCCAGGATCCCCCAGTTTGAGGATGCCTCTCTTTCTGTCAAAGAAAAGGACAGATAAGAACAAAAACCCTGTACGAAACACCCCATCTCGGTCCACCCCAGCACTAACACGTGGCATTAGCATGCTGGCTTAAGATCTGTCTTTTTCCAAAAGTAAGGAAGTTTTAAAGAGAAGCCGAGGCTCTGTCCTTCCCTCCCCTGCAGTGTGCTGGCTGCCATGGGACTGCACCGTCAGCCTTGGGTGTCAGCATTCGCTCTTCCCGTCCTCTCCCCAGTTCACATGCCTCAGTGTGGAGTGGCTGTAGGCTATGGCTTGGCACCACTGGGTTGTCACTGGGCCAGGCAGGAGAGGCGGCCCCAGAAGACACTGGTTGTGGTGAACTAGGTCAGGAAGGAGCCAGTGCCTGAGGGAGGTGCTGCTGTCCAGAGATGAGAGCGGGCCAGAAGGGCAGAATGGATGGATGGGTGGTCTGATACCCGCCCTCAGGAGGCAGAGACGCCTCCACCGGCACCTGGGCCACTTGTGCCTTGTCCACACAGCATTTGGGCCCATCTGGCCACCTGCTCAGGCACCCCTTCCTGAGCTAGGCTGGACATATTCCCAGAGGACCTTGCCCTCTCCTGCAAGCCAGGCATTTGTGCCTCCTGTTTCCCTGCTGAGGTCCAGTGAGGGCCTTGGCAGCTGGGCAGCTCCAGATGGCTTGGTGCAGAGCTGGGGGTGGGCGGTGCTCCTGTTGCCCTGTCTTGGATGGTCCCAGCCCTCTGCAGTAGTGCTTAGCTCAGTTTGTCCCTCTGTGAGGTCTCTGTCCCAGGATTCCTGCTGTTCCTACTCCACATCCATTGTTCTCAGCTCCATCATGTCCTCGGTGGTATCTGGGTCATCCCTCATCCATTGTCCCTTGCTGAGGTCTGCATGTCCATCTCATGAGTCACAATATCCCTGGTAAGGCACAAGGTATCCCAGAGCAGGGACATAGCCACTGCTGCCCTTCCTCTGTCCATCCTCCTGAGCTCTGGGCTTCTCAGAAGCAATGTGAAGGGCAGAAGGGATCTCCCAAGATACTGTCCCCCACTCCTCGGCTCTTATTAGAGTGTCACTTCCAAGGAATAACCAGCCAGTAAAAATATGCCCTATGTGCCGAGCAGGTGAACAAAAGTGCCCTGTGTGAGGCAAGCAGGGCCCTGGGAGGCAGCTGGGCCTCCCTCCCTGTGTCCCTGTTCAGTGCAGCTGGCCTGGGCTCTGGCTGTCAGCCAGGCTTCTCCCTCCCTGTCTGGCCCTGCCCAGCTGAGCAGGGGAGGAGTCAGAGACACAATGCCTCAGATGCTTCTGTGACATGAGATGGGACAGGGGAACATGCCTTTCTTCACAAGCAGGGTTAGGAAGGGTGGATGCTCTTGGGTTCCTAAGTGAGCGTCCCTCCTGGGTAGGAGCCTTCACAGGGGGAAAGCTTTTCCTGGAGCCAAAGGCTATTTCTGTGCATCCTCAGAGCCTGTTCTCTGGAGGGCTCTAGGGAATGTTTGAGCTGGTGTCCTTTCTGCTGGGGCTGCACTGGGCCTGTGAGCAGGCCGCCCTCTGGGTCCACCCTGGCACTCGGGTGACCATGTTTAAGGTCCCCACCATGAGACCACCTCTGAGCTGGGGATGCCTGGGCACTGGCCAGCTGGATTTGGGCTTATGCAGGAACATTGAGCAGCCCAGCATTCTTCAGAGAAGAGGCAGTGTCTTGTTCACTCACGTTGCTAGGAGGAGCAGAGAGCCTGGGGTGTGGCTGAGTTTAGAGGCAGATGGACCCTTGGGATTGGGAGCAGGGTCAGAAGGAGCCAGCAGCTGAAATGCATAGCACACTGTGGTTACAGGAACCTGTAAGGGTGAGCATCCCTCGCTGGTTGGTCCCTATGGGCAGCAGAGGCCTCTGTGAGGCTGGCCTAGCCCACCCATGCCCACCAGTGGAATTGTCCTGGAACTCAGCATCTGGAACTGCCCAGCCCCTGCCCCTCTTCCTCTGAGCCCTCCAGGGGCAAGGAGAGCTGGACATTTCTGCTGTCTCTGAAGTATGACCCTGGCCATGCAGCAGGCCATCCCTGTCTTCAAAGGAAACTGACCCCCATATGGCAGGGATGGAGGGGTGTGGGCTAGGAGCCCCTATATCCAACTTGCTCTGACTCTGGCTGGGCCCAGAAAGCAGCTAAGGACAGGCTGGCTGATGGGCTCTGTGTGGTGGCCAAGGTAGCATGCTCTCTCATTCCAGGACCGACCAGCTGGGCATGTTCACCCACAAGGAGTTTGAGCAGCTGGCCCCGGTGTTGGATGGCTTCAGCCTCATGACCTACGACTACTCCACGTCGCAGCAGTAAGTGTGGCCTTGTGGTGCTGCGGGCACAACCAGGTCTCTGAAGCTGCAGGCCCACTCCTGGCCTCCCAGGCAGGCACCCTCCTGCTATGGGGCCTGCTGCTTAGCATGTCCACACCCAGGAGAGGTGACCTGTGGGGGGCCCTGTCTGGGGTGGAATAGGCATGGCCTTGCTCTTGCCTCTGTCCTCAGACCTGTGCCTGAGCCACCTGGCTCTTGGAAGACCATGTGAAGTAGCAGGAGTGACACCTGAGAGGCTGTGTATCTGCTGAGCCCTCCCTGCCTTGGTCTAGGACTGCTGCCTGCCAAGCTGGGCACTGGGAGGCTGCCTTGGGTAGGACACCCGTGGGTTCTAGTGGAGGGGTCCAGAGCCATTTTGCCATGGTCCTCTACAGCAGCGTCCGTCATTCCTGGTTCTTTCTGGTTTTTGTTTGTTTGGTACTAGGGATTGCACCCAGGGGTGCTCTACCACTGAGCTACCAGCCCTTTTCTTATTTTTTATCTTGAGACAGATTTTCGCTAAATTGCCCAGGCTGGCTTTGTGCTTGTGATCCTCCTGCCTCAGCCTCCTGGTTGCTGGGATCATAGGTGTGTGCCACTACACCCAGCTTCTTCCCAACTCTTGAGGGGCATGGGCCACAGTAAAGGGAGGATGCACTCCAAGTGGACAGCCCTGGGTCAGGTTCAAGGCTTCCTGCCTGCACTGGAACTCTCCCTGTCACCCTGCAGGCCTGGCCCTAACGCCCCGCTGTCCTGGGTTCGAGCCTGTGTCCAGGCTCTGGACCCCAAGTCCAAGTGGCGGAGCAAGATTCTCCTGGGGCTTAACTTCTATGGCATGGACTATGCAGCCTCCAAGGATGCCCGTGAGCCTGTCATTGGGGCCAGGTAAGCTCAGGACCCTCCTCATCACATCCGGGATGTCACCAATCACCAGTGGTGTGGGGTTGGAGAGGGTGGGGACTCTGGCCCCTTGGGCTCATGGGCTCTGGGGCTGATGATGTGGGCATCCTTGCACCTCAGCTCCTGCCAGGGGTGGCTACCACCTTGATGAGTAGCCTGGGGATGCAGCCACACTGCTGTCCCTGAGTGTGTTGACCTCTCCTGACCTCAGGAGTGGGAGTGTAGGCCGAGGCTGCTAGTTTATGTGTGAAGGGCTGTCAGCTGGCCTGCGCCACGTGGACGAGGAAGACCTGCTCCTTTTCTGTCACCTCCTTCTCTGAGGGTCTCCAGTGTCTGCTGTTGTGTGGTTCTGCTGGTGTGCAGCCCAGTTCTGTCCCTCCTGGAATCCATTGCCCCGTCTCCTCTGCGCCTCCCTGTGCTTGTGGCCCCTTACTGCCATCAGGTTCACACCTGCCACTGGGGTTTTTTTTTTGTTGTTTTGTTTTGTTTTGAATCATATAATTTTATTTAGAACTTATTTTCTTTTTTTGCCACTGGGTTTTGAGCCACATGGTCCTTCGTGTCCAGGTGCTCCTTGTACTTCATCTCCACTGTGCTCCCTGGGGTCCGTGCCCACCTGCTGCTTGTCACATGTGGAAGGTCTCGTGGTTCCTTCAGCTCTCTGGGCCTCCCTTTGGCTCCTGACCTCAGGCACCGCCAGCGGATGCTTGTGTCAGGGCGGTCTAGCCCAGCCGCAGCTCCTGGGCCTGGTTCCACTTCTAGGGTTCTTATTTCGTTTCCGTTGCTCCTCCTTGCTGTGTCTGCACTGGTGGCACAGACTGCTGGTGGCTTCTTTTGCCAGGCCCACCCTGCCATTAGTTGCCTTCAGTGCTTTCTTTCATCTCACAGGCTGTAGTTCCCATGTGTCAGGGTTTGGGTCTCATTTTACATCCTCTGGGCCTCTGCTAAACGTGTGCTTGTGTGGGATTCCGTTGTGATGACAGCCGGTGTCCTCCTCTGCTGATCCTGATGTTGGGTTGGCTCTGATCAGCCTGCACGTGACCGTCTCCTTGGTCAGGGGCCTGGGGTGCAGCCCTGTGGACCCAGAGTTGGACTGGGTACCAGATGTCGCAGATGTTGCCTCTGGGAGCCGGTGTTTGAGTGCTCCTGTGAGTCTTTGTGTTTGTTCTGGAAACAGTTTGGCTGTGCGGAGCTCATTTAAGCCACCCACATTCCTAGTGGCTCCTTCCCTGAGGATGGTTGGTGTCTGGAGACAGGTGTGGTGTCACTGCTGGCTGGGACTCTCTGCAGGGTTCCCAGGCCTGCTCTGTGAGGGCAAGCATGTGTTACCCAGGGCCGTGAGCAGAGGCCAGGCCATCACCCTGCCTTGAATGCTGAGGTCCTGGCTGGGCCCTTGCTAAGGTGTTTCCCTCCAGCTGGGACCAGGGGTCAGCCAGTGGTGGGACTCGCAGGTTCAGGGCATGGCAGCAGTCAGTAGAGGAGGTGGGACACCTCTCTGTGGTCTTCTGTTCCTGCTTGGAGGAGGAATGCTTGTTAGGACCACCTCACTCCCTTCTCCCCTGTTGGTCCCTCTGTGGTGGGCTGTCAGGGTGGATTGTGCTCCAAGGCAGTGGTGGGAAGGGGTGGTCCCACTGGGGGGCTTTTTCCCCTTCTAAACCCACACTCCCCTGTGTCCACAGGTTGGCCCTAGGGTCTGGGGTCTGGCACAGGCCTAAGCCGACTGCTGTTCTCCTGACCCCTGGGGTCTACTCTGTATCACTGAACTTGGCCAGACTCTGTAGACAGGCCAGGTCAGGCCACTGGCTGAGAAGGGCCTGGGCAGATGGCACTGGTAACAGGAGATTGGGCAGCAGCCTGAGGCCCAGTGGCCCCGCACCTACCATTTGCAGCACGATGGAGAGAGGTCAGCCTCATAGCTGTGTCCCGTGCTGGAAGACGTGAATTTGCTGCACAGTGAGGGCTCCTCCCACTCCTCCCAGGACACCCCTAGGGCAGGCTGGTGCTGAGGTGGATCCCCGTCCCCCTCTGTCTTCTTTCTGATCAGTGTTGCTCTGTGTGTGTGTGTGTGTGTGCGCCAGGCCCTGGCATCTTCAGGAAGCCCAACCACAACACCTGCTGTGTGGGTACTTCCTCCTGCTGGGCAGGGAGTACCAGCTGCCTAGACATCCTCAGTAGACCAGCCACGAGTTTCTTCCTGGGCCTGCCAGGCTTCTCCTTGGGTGGGGCTTTGAAAGGAGGCGAGGTGTTGGCCTCGAGCTGCCATCTCTGTCCACTTGGGCTGGCATCTCCTGTTCCACTGAAGTCAGTGTTCTCACCCTCTGGGGTCTGGGGTCCAGGTGCTGCAGGCTGGCTTCTCCCAAGGCCTCTCTCCTCCCTGTCCATCAGTGTCTCCTCCCTGTGTCCTCACGTGGTCCTCTGCAAATCTGTCCTGATGGCCTCTCCTTTTTCATTTTGATGGTACTGGGGATTGAACCAGGCCTTGCTCCCCCTAAGCTCACACCACTGGGCTGTACACCAGACTGATTTCTTCTTGGAAGGACAGTCCCATTGGATCAAGATCCATCCTAATGGCCTGCTTTTAACTTAATCACCTCTTTAAATGTTGTCTTTCCAACTGTGGATAAATTCTGAGGTAGGAGTAACCTCACAGACTCTAGAATATGAACTTGGAGGCATACACTTGGCCCGAAATGCCACCTGAGGGTGAAAAGATGATCCAGGGAGACAGACGGCCCAGCAGGAGCTGCTGGAGAGGGTTGTTACAGCCATCCTACCCCAGCTGGTGGGATAAACACAGGGCACCCAGTCTGCTCAGATCACAGAAGGCATTGGTGGCTTCCTCTGGACAGTACCTGCCCTTGATTGTTCTGAGAAGGGCTGGGGGCTTTGGAGGTTCAGAAATTCTGATCACAGAGGTGTATGCGTGAGTGTGGACACACAGGGCTGTGTGCAAGGGTGTGTATGCACATACACAAGGATGCCCTCAGGCCTCCTGGCTTTGTGGAGGTTGGGAGGGAGGGTGCTGTCTTCAGTCCCCAACCCAAAGTGCCCCTTAAAATGACCTCTGGGCCTAGGTGGTGCAGAGTGGTGGTCTAGGCATTGGGCAGATGCTGGCCTGGACTTGGTCCCACTCAAGGGGAGCAGGTGGGCTGGGAGACTGGAAGGACGCTTTGGTCAGGGCAGCAGCACATGTGTCAGCTCAGTAAGGTGCTTCCTGCAACTATGGGATAAATGACCAGCTCAGGAAACGTGTCCTCATGTTCTCCTTGTGACTACAGTGCCAGGCAGAGTGCTGATGCTGCCCAGCTGTAACTCCCCTGAAGGACACATTGCAGAGGGTGTGCCCCCACTTCAGTCTTGGCCTGTGCATCGGTCCTGCAGAGAAGGCTTCAGGGGACACAGGCAGATATGGTAGGCACCGCTGCCTGCAGACGTTGGGAACCTGACCACCACCAGGAGCTCCTTTTGTAGGAGTTTCCTGGATCACTGCTGGAGTCCCCTCTAAGGACGCCACCACAGGTCTAAGGAGAATGTTCTTCCTCACCTCTGCATGGCCTGTTACCACCCGCACCCTTGCCCACACCTCCTCTCTTTTGTCCTTCCAGGCCCTCACGGTCTTGTTCCAGCCTGGTGGCATCCCCCTCAACAGCTCAGCCCAAGGACTGATTGGCCATTTAGTGCACAGGGTCAGACAGACCTCCCGTCCTGGGGGGTCCTGGGGGGGGTCCTCCTCTCCAGCCCCCACAGCTGGGCTTGCTCCTCCCCCTGCCCTTCTGGAGCAGCTGCACAGCCTGGTACCTCCTCTGGCTCCTGTCTAGCTCTGGTGGCTGCAGTGCTATACCAGCTCAGAGCCTTCCCTCCCCTCTGTCCTGTTCCTCAGTGAAGTCCCTATTCCTCAGTGAAGTCCCCCTTGTCCACTGCAGTAGCCCAGGCAGGGCAGGGAGACATCTTTAGCCCACCCTCCTCCCTGCAAGGCCAAGTACTGTCTAGCAACATTGCTCACCAGGCCCCCACCCAGGCGTGACTTCCAGAGTGGAAAGCCCTTCATCCGGCCTCTGTCACCTTCCTTCAAGATGTCTGTAGATAGGCACTGTGGTACATGCCCGTAATCCCAGCAGCCTCAGGAGCCTCAGTTTAAAGCCAGCCTCAGCAACTTAATGTGACTCTGTCTCTAGATAAAATATAAAAAGGACGGGGGATGTGGTCAAGCGTCCCTGGGTTCAGTCCCTGGCTAGAAAAAAAAAAAAAATGTCTGCGAGGCAGATAGCAGGACGAGACAAATCCAGTGCATGTGACCCTGTCCCTACCACAGTGACTCGGTGGATCTGGGTGTTTCTTCTTCCCATTCTTGCTGGTCTTTTACTCTGAGAACATTCAACCATAAAAGCCTTGGACACGTGACAGATTCCCCCACTGCCTCCCAGGAGCTCACCCTCTTGTCCTGTGGGTGCTAAAGTATCTCAGCCTGCCTCGTTCCTGGGCTTCTGCACATTCTACTTACTATGTCCTCCCAAAGCCAGTGATGTGCATGAGATGCCCTCCACACCGTCCCCTCAGTGTTTGTAGCCCACGAGTGGGCGTTCTGGGCTTAGTTGGCCTCCTCTAACCAGTTAGAGGCCTTGGGCATGTCCTTTGCCAGACAGGTGGTGGGTTGGGCCAGTCATCATGCATCTGTGGATGTCCCTTAGGTCATCCCATCTCTGGAGCAGGACGGTGAGCCATGGGGTTTCCTCTTGGGATATTGCTGGACCTCACACTTCAGACATGAGGACTTGGCTTCTGCTAAGAAGGGCTGTCAGGCCTGAGGAGTTGTTTAAACCTGTGAAACCGAGGGCATCTGAACCAAGGTTTTGCACTCTACAGGGTGAGATGGGGGCGTGGCTGTTGTTGGCCCCCTCCCCCTGGGAGAAGACCTGGGCCTGTGAATGGGGAGGGTCTCAACAGCACCCACCAGCAGCTCTGGGCTGGCTCCAGAGTCCTGTGCT